TCTTCAGGGAATTCATCAATGGATTTCAATCGTTTGACTATGGAGTTTTAACTTAGCAAGTTTCTTTCATATTGCACAATTGGTGTTTTAATTTAAAATTGTCAATATTTAAATTTTTTAAGGTGTTTGACCCTCCCATTGACAGCCATTAAAAAGCTTCAAAATTTTGAATTTAAATTCGGGTTTTCAAAAATATTTATTTGAATTGGATGTTGTTGCAAATGATTAGGGATATTCTTTGAAGTTTAAATCTCAATTTTGAGGGCATTAGGTAAAGACTAGAGTTGATTTTGGCTGGATTTTCATATTGAAACCCGAAAAAGATGACGAACACATGATATACAATATATATATATATATACACACAAAATTTGTATTAAAGTTGTATGAAATTTGTATTAAAATTATATTTAAGTTGCATTCTATTGTAGCTGTAATTTTTTTTTGTTTGAATGTTGTATGAAAGTTGAAAATAAGTTGTATATTATATGAATCATCGTGTGAAATTTATATTTAAGTTATAAATACTCTCCTTTTTATAAAGGTGTTGATATATATTAAAGTCGTATTATAGTTGTATGAAAATTATATTTTAGTTGTATCCTATTGTAATTATATTAGTTTCGTATGAAAGTTATATATATGTATCAAAATTATATTAAACTTGTATTATAGTTGTACGAAATTTATATTTAAGTTGTATATTATTGTAATTTTATTATTTTTTGTTGTAGTATTGTATGAAAATTATAAATAAGTTGTATATTACATGATTAATAGTATAAAATTTATATTTTAATAGTCAGTTGTTATAGATATACTAAATTTTTACCAATTTCATATGAAATTTGTAAATAAGTTTTCTAACCATTGAACCAATTTGACAGCTATTGAAATGCAAAGCTTTATGAAATTCACATTGATTTGATACAATTGCTTGGTGATTAACATTCAGAGATCTTATGAAGTTTCATAGTTTATGAAAGTTGTCAATTGTTAAAATTCGTATAAATTGGTATAATTTGACAGTTTTATAACAAAAAATCAATTGTACCAAATTTATATGAAATTTGTTAGTGTTATCAAATTTATTGTTTTTGACGATCGTTGTCAATTCAACATTATCTATTACCTCTGTCTCACCATTCCCGCCACAAATGTGAAGAAAATAAAGCTATTGATAGAAGAAAAGGAAATAGGAGAGGAGAGTTGATGGAAGAGGGAGAGGGAGAGATGATGGTAGAAGAAGAGTGAAGGAGGCGGCAAAAGAAGATTGAGAGAAGAGATGAAAGAAAAAAGGAAAAATGTGTAACTAAATCCCTTAATTGAAGACACTAATACAATAAGAACTCTCTATAACAACATCCTTATACAACAGTCATTCACTATATGTTACGACCCAAAAACAACCGTCGTAATGGCGCCTATCGTGGAACTAGGCTAGCCTCAACTCAACAATCCAACACCAACAACAGTAAGTTTGAAAATATTAACGGAAGCATTTAACGATTAAAGAAAACTGTTTGAAACATAAGGAATTCCCAAGGTGATACAATTTAGCCTAAAACTAGGGTGTCACAGAGCATGAGCGTCTAGGTCAAAAAATACAGTCTACAACAGTGTCTAAAGATATAAATAGAAAATACGACAAAAATAAGGAAAGGAGAGTCAAGGCTCGCGAACGCCATGCAGCTACCTCGATAATCTCCGAACTCTAGAACCTCGATCAGCAAACGCTGCTACGACCGGTATCGCCTGGATCTGCACACGAGGTGCAGGGGGTAACGTGACTACACCAACTCAGTAAGTAACAAGTCCAAACTTTGGACTGAAAGGTAGTGACGAACTCAACCGATACAGATAAGAACAGATATAACTGTGCAGAATCGTAGGCATGCTTTCAGTTTAACAGGCAGTTCAAAACAGTAATGTAGAACAGATACGAATAGTGTAAAGAATATATCTTTGCTACCTCTACATGCCAATGCACATGATGTATGGAATGTACCATGCTATCAGCCTCATGTGCTCACACTCTCAAATACTCAACCACTCGGTAATGTATATGGCTCATACGGCCCAGGGAAGATCCATCCCGGAATATATACACATCACTGACAACAGTCACTAGTACCGAGGAAGGCCAATCCAGCCCTGTGGAGTAAATCCATCTCCAGGAATCAATGCTTCGGACAAGATCCATGTCCAGGGAAGATCCATCCCTCAATAATATCAACTGCACTCACTGGGGGTGTGTTATAGACTTCGGAATGGCTCCTGCAGCCCAAACGCTATCAAAATCATCAATATAACCACTGCGCGCGTGCAGACCTATCCCATAACTGTCACTCATAACCATGCTCTCGGCCTCACTCAGTCATTAACCTCTCCAGTCTCACCACGGGCTCACAGTTTCATGAAACAACTCGGAACAATCATATGATAAATCAATAAATAACTAAGACTGAGATATGATATAAAAATGCATGATCATGACTGAGTATGGAATATTAGATGGAAACTAGTGAGATGGCAGCAAGAAACGATCGCTAAGGAGCCAAATATTACCGGCACAAGCCTAAACATCATATCTAACATGATTTACAGCTCAACTACTTTATCACATGGTGAAAACATGAATATCAACAGGATAGAGTCACTAAACGGTGCCATGGAGTCACCCGGGCCACAATTCTCACGGTGCACGCCCGTCACTTGGCATGTGCGTCACCTCACTACTAATCACATAACACGTAGTTCGAGGTTTCGGACCCTCGGAACCAAGTTTGGAAGTGTTACTTACCTCAAACCAAGCAAAAATCCTATCCCGCGATGCTCTTGCCTCTCAAATTGGCCTCCAAATGTCCCGAATCTAGCCACAAGCAATACAATACGGTCAATATAGGCTAAAGGAACCAATTCCACAAGAAAATACCAAATTATAGCCGAAAATCCGAAATTGGCTCAAACCCGGCCCCCGGCCCCACGTCTCGAAATTCGACAAAAGTCACAAAACCCGAAATTCCATTCACTCACGAGTCTAACCATACTAAATTTATCAAAATCCGACCTCATTTGGTCATTCAAATCCCCAAAATTCACTCTCCAATTCTCAAGCCCTAAATCCCCAAATTTCTAGCTCAAATCCCTAATTAGATGATGAATAAAGCCATGGATTCACGAAATTTATACCATTATGGGTTAGAATTACTTACCCCATTGAAAATTAAAAATGGAGAACAAAACCTCGAGCTGGGGTTTTCTGCTAGCTAAAACCGCACCTGCGGAACCGCATGTGCGAACAGGGCTCCGGTTCTACGAAAATTCATTAAAAGGCTGGCTCCGCTCCTGCGATCACCTGACCACATTTGCGGCCATCGCAGATGCGGTCTGGCCGCAGATGCAGGGCCAAGCCGCACCTGTGATCCAACTGCGCACCTGCACCTCACAATCCGCTTCTGCAACCTCGCACCTGCGGTTCCCACTTCGCAGGTGCGGAAAACCCAGCAACAGCTTCAGCTGCATTTTTCCAACTCCAAACACTCCGATAACTACCCGAAATCACCCCAAGGCCCTCGGAACCACAACCAAACATACCAACAGATCCTATAACATCATACGAACTTATTCAAACCTTCGAATCACTCAAAACAACATCATAACGCCAAGTTACACTCGGATTCAAGCCTAAGAACTTCTAAACTTCCGAATTTCACAAACGATGCCGAAAACTACCAAACCACGTCCGAATGACCTCAAAATTTGCACACAAGTCAGAAATGACACCACGAACCTACTCCAACTTCTGGAAATTCAATCCGACCCCGACATCAAATTTCCACTACCGGCCAAAATCGCCAAAATTCTAACTTCCGCCAAATCAAGCCTAATTCTAACACGGACCTCCAAATCACATTCCAAGCGGGCTCCTATGCCCAAAATCACTTAACGGAGCTAACAGAACCATCAAAGTTCAAATCCGAGGTCGTTTACCCATAAGTCAACATCCGGTCAACTTTTCCAACTTAAGCTTTCAAATAAGAGACTATGTGTCTCAATTCACTCCGAAACCACTCCGGACCCGAACCAACTAACCAGTATATCATAATATAGCTGTAGAACACAAAAGAAGCAGGAAATAGGAGAACGAGGCTATAACTCTCGATACGACGGCTGGGTCGTTACACTATAAGAGCCAAGTTTCCTTAGAACCTATTTTTTAAGTTATATTTTACCTCTCTATAACAACTTTTTACACGTAACAGCAACATCCATGTTTATAGCAGAACGCTCTTTGTAAAATTACCTCTCTATAACAACCATATAGAATCTTTAGGGTTACTAATAATAATTCTAAAATTATGCACACAATCTTTTATGTTGCACAAAGTTTCTATTTTGCATAAGACATAAGATTTGAAGATTTGCACATGATATCTTTACCATTGGACAAATGCCAAAAAATATTTAGATAGAAGATTTAACTGTTAAGCTCTTAGATTGGTGAAAGCTATTGGGTATCTTTTTGCTGAAAATTTGGATACGAATCTTCGCCAATTCAAGCATTATATCGCTAATAAGAGAACGAAATCTACGAAAAAGCTACAATTACAAAGTTCTTCCATTAATCTTGAATTTTTTTTCGAAGTAGCTTTAAATGTGTGCCTTAGAGTTTAAATCTTTATCATTTAGTTATGAACTTATTAATAATATATTAACTTTCTTCAATATTTAACCAGTGACATATGCATATCTTTTGAGATTTTAAATTTAAATAATTTTTTATCTTTTATATATAATATTAGAGAAGGAAAAATAATTGATATTTGGATAATTTTTTATTTATAATAGTGAAAAAATATTTTTACGCGAAATGTTGTTATAGATGTAAGTAACAAACAAAGTTATTATAGAGAAGGTTGACTCCTTTTTAAGTACTATATTATTTGTAGAAAAAACTCTAGGTAAATAGCAAACTTTAGAATAAATAAGTTTAAAAAATTGTAGTATCCCATAAAAATTTGAGTATCTTCGAGTGTAAATGCTCCCCATCCCCTCAAAAACCAAGAAAAAAGAAAGAACAAGCCCTAAACTTTGGTCTCAACAATGGTGGATGGGTCGAGAGACGTGGATGTGGAGAAGCTAATCTCCTTCAGCAAAGATCTCGTTCAGTTCTTGAAGGACGACAAAGATGTCGGCTTCTTGAAACAGTGTTTGGAGCAATCTAATGCCGTTCAATTACAGTGCCTTTCTGAATATCAAACCCTTCAGACTTCCATTCAAGGTATGCTTCGCAAATAGTAAAAATCCTTTCTTTCTCAAAGATTGTCCAATAGGGTTTTCCTATAAACTGTGTGAAAAAGGAGGGGGAAAAAGATTTTGTACATGTTACTTGTAGATAGTTCTGTTTACATGGAATTGAGAAGCCATTTTCTGTTTTCTTTTGTACTGGAGTATCAGGTCAAAATTGATTCTCTCAAAGCATCGTAATTTCTGGATGTTTCTGTTAATGACATTTTGGGGATTGTGGAGTCTGTCTTTGTATTTTATACCCTTATATGACTACTTGTTTGGTAACTCACTCTTCTGGTCATTAAGTGAAGTCCTGTTTTCTTGTACTGCTCTTCATGCCAACCCTTTTGGAAAATTTTTAGTGTAAATTTGGTGGCATTACCTATTTGTTCCTGATAGTTTTGTGATACTCTTCTACATTTGGTATGATTTCTTCCTAAGCTGAAGTCCTTCTAAGCCAATATCTTATGAGCAGAGGTCCAGCATGTTTATATCTATATATACTTAGGTTAAGCTGAAGTCCTTTGGATCGTGTTGCTATGGTATTTAGTGGCTTAGCCAAGCATTAGCTTATGATTTTGACCGGAAATAACTGGATTTATTCTGGATTTCTTGATTTGAAACTATTATATAATTAATTTAATTCATTACATATGCTCAGATTATGAGGCAAAGATAAATATGTGCAAGCAGAGAATAGCAGAAGCACAATCTGAAGCTGCTGGAGATGCTGAAATAGATACAATGCAGAAAGAGTTAGAACAGAAGCTTCAGAGAGAACAGCTGCTAAGGGAAGAACTTAGATAAGTATATCGAAAAATCATGTCTTCATATTTCTCAGATAGTTTGATGTTATGATTACTGATTAGCACCTTTTGCTTTAACACAGTTATAACCGATGAGATCGATGATTTAGATCATCAAAGAGCCTCTATTGAGGAGCAAATGCAGTCGCTCGAGAAGCTTGAGCGAGATCAACTTCGAGCAGAGTAAGTAATCAGAACCTTTTATTAGTAGTTTAATATGTTTATAATTATATCAGCCATTTACTCCGAACATACTGCTATAATGTTCTGTTGAAACAATCCCATCTTGACATTTATATGTCGACTGGGTAAACTTTTGCAGCTTTATGCTATCAAATAATGTGAAGAGTTTGTAATGGGTCTAGGATGTTAACATCATATTTTGCCAACTTGGTTCTGTATCTTAACTTGGTACAAGTTGTTGAATGCATCTGCCAAATGCCAATCATTGTTAAAGTAGACGTAGTCCATTGACTCTCCATATGGTGCAGATCAAGTAGAGATGGCAACATGGCGGGGTGGTGCGTGCGGGTTAAGAGTGTTTTCTAAAAAGTTTTAAAGCGGATCTGGGCAGGTTGCAGGTTCTTTGTGAATGAAGAACTACTGGGCATACAAATATTGATGAATATAACAACTTTTTCCCTCTCAGTTTCCACGCTATCACTTCTACCAACCCGAGATCTGAATACTTCCCAAATTTTTGTTTCTACTTTTCTAGCTTGTAACTGAAATCTCTAATTCTTTGGCCTCATCTCGAGTCTTTGACTCTCTTACCCAGTAGGTGGTGAAGTTGGACTTTAGACGTTAGTATGACTTGCAATTCTTTTCCACTTCTTTACCTGGTTTTCTTGATATTTTATCATTTCTCTAGATATTCTATCATTTTTGCTATAATTTATCATTTTAACTAGGAAGGGGAGCCTTGGCGTAACTGGTAAAGTTGCTGTCATGTGACCAGGAGGTCACAAGTTCAAGCCATGGAAACAGCCTCTTGCAGAAATGCAGGGTAAGGCTGCGTACAATAGACCTTTGAGGTCCGGCCCTTCCCCGGACCCCGCGCATAGCGGGAGCTTAGTGCACCGGGCTGCCCTATCATTTTAACTAGACTTCAGAATTCAGGCTTTTCTATGTATTGTTTTTACAACTTTTATTTTCCATGTTTCCTTCTATTATCTGGTTTTCTTGTTAAGTATGCTGCATTAATATACTGAGGAGGAGATAGACCACCAAAGACTAGAAATCAGATGCATTTTTGTCACGACGTTTTTTCACTGTATCTTTGTTTAATTTCAAAATCACATTTAATGATTTAATTAAAGAACTGAGAAATATTGTTTTTGGAATTGTGTTATTCTGGCTTAAACATCCAGATTTTTGAATATCCTTTGGTTTCTTTAATTAAAAGTAGAAGAATCAATTTCGGACCTAAATTAAAAGTCTGGCACTCAACACTTGTAAACTGAATCATGAATGTCAAATTATAATAGAGCGAGTGTTGTTTTTGGAATTTTTACAAGATTGATGCAAAACCTTTAGATAATCGAGGGTATTTCTGAGGCCAAAGAAGGATTGTAAGTACAGGTTTTTAATTGAAATATGTAAATTACAAACTAGAGAAAGAGAAAGAAAAGAAAATTATGCGAGGCGTGTGGAAAACATAAAAAAAGGCTATGCAGGGCGGCATGTTAAATTTTATTCGAGTTGAGTCTTAACCCGCCCCGCTTTGTTTGCCATCGCCAATATTAAGTAATACCACCGTACACTTTTGGATGTCTATTTGTAACTATTCGTCACTGTTTTTGACTTCTTTTTTTTTCTCGTCTTAATTTGGTTTTTCTTGTCACTTGTCACTTTTTTTTATTTTATTTTATTGTTTTTGTCTCTTTAATTTTTTTTCTTTCTAATAAATTCTGCATTCTTTTAGTTTCTTTTTTTGTAATTTTTTTCTTTTTTATTCTTTTTTTTGTTCTTTCTAATAACAATCCCTCACTTTTTATTTTTATTTTTTTGCTTGTCTTAATTTTTTATTTTTTTTGGTGTATTTTTTCTGTTCTTTATAGTAAACTATCTTCGTCCAAAATAATTATTACTTTGTTTTTGTTCTTTCCTGATAAATAAGCGAGTCCTAATATTTATATTGGGACACTTTCTATACAATCACTAATCGATTATGATTTTCAAGAGTTATTGTGTTACTCTTTTTGATTCTTTTGTTTTTTTATTTAATATTTTATAGATGACCTTTTTTTTCAATTTCTGAGAAATTTTAGGCTTTTTTAAAACAAAGAATTTGTCACTCTTTTCTCGTTTTTTGTTCTTTCTAGTTAATTCGGTAATCCTAATATTTGGTGCACTATGCTAATTATAGTATACGAATGAGTAGTATACCAAGAATATTGAGAATGCAATCATTCTACAGTAATCATGGTATACCAATGTATAGTATACCAAGAATGTTGTGATACCATTTAACATACCAGTAATATCATGGCATATTAATGTGTTGTATACCAAGAATATTGGTATACCATTTGACATACTCAAACAAAGTATACCTTGATTCAAAACTAATCATGGTAAACCGTTGTATTCTATACCAAAGATAGTTGGTATACCATTTGACAAACTCAAACAAAGTACCATGATAATTAGTCATGGTATACCAATATGTAGTATACCAAGAATATGGGAAATAACATTTAAGATAAACAAAGTATTAACATAATTAACTGTTGGTAAACCATACAGTATACCATGATTCAACAGTAATCGTGGTATAATACATAGTATACCAAGAATAATGAGAATATTTAGCCTAAAAAAAGTTTATCATAATTCAAGAGTAATCATGATATAATACATAGTATATTAAAAATATTGTGAATACCATTTAACAACAGTAATCATTGTATGCAATGATTTAGTGATCACGCTATACTTTACAGTATAGTAAGAAATATTATGAATGCCAATTAACATACTAGTTGTAATAATATACCATGATTCATCAGTAATCGTGGTATGCTATACAGTATACTAAGAATTTTGTAATGTCATTTAACATACTACTAATTACAGTATATCATATACATTGCTAACTTAGGGAAAGAAATGTGGTAGCTCCATTATAAAAAGTGTGATGACAGTAGTTCAATTGCAGATGTAATACATTCATCTTGGGACGTTTGAGACTTTAAGCATTCTTCAACTGCAGTACGTTCATTTGCAATTTAAAATGGTGACATAAATACATAAAGAAAATTGAGTTGCCAATTTTCAATTTGATAAGTTGAACCGTAGTGAAGAATAAAGGTTGAAGATCATAATCCCCTATATTGGCTGCTATAAAACCAACCCAAAGATTAATACAATTTGCATACCCAATTGCAGATCCTTTTAAGAGCTTCCTGCACCATAAGATGATAAAAAATCGTCAAGAAGCTACTTCTACCAAATCCTAGCTTCTACTGAAGCTAAACTTTTCCTACTTAGTTAATAAAAGCCATGGCACAATTTAACTTGCCTTTTTCTTAGTATACAAACCACACTGCAATATCTTGGAAAGTTGGCGAAACAGATGCAGTGACTTTTGCCAGTGTTTGAAAATCTAGGCAGCACATGTCAACCAAGGAATTTCCTAGGAACTGCAAATATTTGTTATTAATAATTTCTGTAGCTCTGGACTGGGCAAGATAAGCCACGAAAGCTCAGTCATGAAGTCCTAGCAGAGGTTGAATTTGAAGGGGAAGGGATCTGGGTATACTAAATTGGTAAAAAGATGATTGACTGTTCTCCAATTTTGTCCCCTTTTTTCGACACCCCAAATGATGTTTTTTTATAAAAATTCAATCTTGGATTAAAAGTGTAAAATTTATAGATGATTGGTATGAAAGGAGTATATGGAGAAGGCTTTTTCTCTTATACCAAGAAGATTATTTTCTATAAAAATTAAACCTTGGAATAAAAGAGTGAACTTTATAGATGAATGGTATGAAAGGAAAAAGATGAAGAAGGCTTTTTCTCTTATACACAGAAGAGAAATCTTATATAAAGATTCAGTCTTGATCTCCGAAGGAGTGACTACCTTAGTTATAGCTGAATGATATGAAGTAGAGGGGGAATAAAGGGGTGGGTGTCGCAGTAGAGGAAATTTTGCACACTGAGAAGAAGTGGAGGAGAAAACTTAGTCGCGGAGGGAAGGGATCTGGGTATACGAAAGAAGAAATTTGGGGGCACCGATGGTCATTTTAGGTTTTAGTGGCAGAGGTTGTCATAAAGTCCTAGCAGTGAGGTATTAAAGTCCTTCTCCCTATAAAATATCCCTTATGTTTGCCTAAGCGTACAGTTTTCGTCTTACCTTTAACTGGGTTTGTGAAACTAACGGAAAAGGCTAAAAGAAAGTTAAATTTAATGGGAATTTCGTTTTACACATCTTCAACATTGAGATGCCTGTCTTCTTCCCCTTCTCTGCCAAACTTCTTCCATTCTACCCAAAATTCCTAGAAACCAAAATCCCTAGAAACATAACCCTAATTAGTGAATGATCGAATCCACTTCAAACAGGAACCTATCTACTCCTAGAAGCATTGGAATTGGAAAGTTGCAGGTAAATGCACTTCATCGCCACTTTATCAAAATCTGTTTTTTCTCAATAGAATCGGCCTCTGCTGCAGCTCAACGTTAGGAAATTATCTGAGGATTGATCTTATTAGACTTGCATTAATTTTTCCATCTGTGGTTTACACCTCATAGACACACAGCCTCTTGTACAATACCCATCCTGTTGCAAGGATATATGTGTTTGTATAAATGGAGTCCATTTCGTTTTTTCTTCTCTTTTGTTTCTTTAAATTAAATTTTATAAAGTAGTACTCTCAACTGATTGATATTTGGTAATTTGTTAAAAATATCTTTCCTTGTCTCTCTCTAGCTGCTATTATCTATACTTTGTTCTTTTCACAGCTTTAAGAGCTTCCTTATGGTAAGAGTAACTTTTTTCGTCCTTGTATCTTGTAGGATGAAGTTATCATTGTATGCCTCTGTTACAAGTATCATTCCAGACTTGTATGATGAATCAAAAATATCAGGCCGTATCCTACTTTGCTTGCTAAGCTAACATTTCTTATTTGTCGAGATTTTATGTCATTCAGCAGAAATTGCGTTCACCTTGACCCATCCTAGATATTGTGGAAAGAGATAACAAGGTGCTTGAATATTTTGAACTGGATCCATCGGAGCTAACTGCCTTTGACATTAGTAACAGCATCTGGAAGATGATATAGTTGTAATTAAGTACCTTCACCGTTTGTCTTTATTGGAATTGCATTAAGAGGTTTCTTTTCCATGTCAATGTAAGTTACCTTCTTTTTAACCAGTTATTTTTAACGGATAATTTTAGATACCCCTCCTTAGGTTTCATTTCGTAATACCCACTTCTCTTGTGGTTTACAAATACCTCACTTAGTTTGAATTTTCTTGCAACTATCCTTGCTCTTATCAAGTTCCATATGTAACAAACTGGCAGTGTTTGGAAACCCAAGTGTTATTCCTACTATTAGTATTAGTGATGTAATGCCACCATAGTTGTTATTAATAATATTATCCACTTCTCCAAAAAAAAAAAAAAAAGAAAATCCATTACAACAGACTGAGCACAACTCCTTAAGCTTAATTAGTCAAAGTTGAATTCCTATAAGGAGTAGAAATGCTCCTCGAGTTTTCTGCTGCTAAGTTCCTAGTAGCATTAGGAGTTGTATTATTCTCCAAATTTGCATTTTCTACCAATTGGCTTGGTACTTCCTGGCAAGATGTATTAATTTGGCCCAAAGGCAATTTTCAGAAGATCGTATTCAATTTTGGGCCAAATATAAGTGATTTTTCAAGTATATATTCACATCTTTGGATTGCAACAAAATTCGTTGAGAATGATATGCTAACAGATTTATCGTCATCTTGACTCTAACTGTGCTTGGTTTTAAGCAACTCTTGTGTGGCTTGCATTTAAATTTCAAGGTTCTTGAACAAGCAAGAAAAAGAGAATGGTTTCTCTCCTGCCAAAGGCCGGGGAGACGAAGAATATCCATGGCGTTTTCACTTTTCAGGCAACCATGAAACACCTGGGAGGGGGAGAGACGGCTTCTTGTTTCACTTTTATTTTAAACAAAAAAGGGAGTTGTTTTTTCCAGCTACCCTGATAGACAGTCAAAAAGAGCTCGAACGACCAACTTAAGCTACCTGATCCTAGGGGGCCTGAAACGTTCAAAGCACAGGTGCAGGAGCAATCGATCAATTGTGTCTCAATCCCAAACTAGCCGGAGTCAACTCTTTCTTTTTTAATGATCGAGAAATTCCCGAGGGCCAATGGTCCAGGAGTTGAAACTCCGTTTGGAACTAGCTGTGGTAGACTCTGTAAACCTTTTATATATGTTCTGCACTATTGCATAAATTTTAAGTTTTATAAAACTCAGGTTCTCAAAATTCCACGTGCAAATCTCTAACTAGACCAAAAAGATTCTTGCCAAACACCGAACCAAATGTAAGTGCGACTACATCAATTACAAGAAGCAATCTCAAAGGAGAACACAAATAAGGCACCTCAGGAGTCAGGATAAAAGCCAAATATGGCCATTAGAGCTCTTCATAATGGTAGCAGTTAATCTTAATAAAATATTTTACAATCCAATTAATGGTTGCAAGAACATAAAGACATGGAAGAAAAGACTGTTCCATCATAGTCCCCCATACTACCAAATACAGTGAGGATCAAATATGTAATGACTTAACACAAGAACATCAAGGGGTTTCACATTTACAAGGCACCACACGCGTCAAATTATAACACCCAATGTAACGACTAATCAACAACAACAACAACAATGTAACGACCCGATAAGTCGTTTTGAGTATTAGCTCCCCTATTTGTGTTTCGGATCCTCTGGTAGCTTTATTAGATAATTTATAACTTGTGTGCATAGACCGTACCGATTTCCGGAAAGTTTATATGTGAAATTTTAAAGAAAATATGATTGAAAATGACTAGAGTTGACCACGATTAACATTTTTGGTAAACGACCTCGGATCGTGTTTGATGATTCTGGTAGGTTCGTATGATGATTTGGACTTGTTCACATATTTAGTTGGGGTCCTGGGTGACCCGAGACTGTTTCGGCGCATTATGTGAAAAGTTGAAAGATTGAGTTTTAATGATCGATTCTTGATTTTAGATGTTATTTTGATGATTTGAGCTTGCTAGCAAATTTGTATATGTTATTTTATCTAGATTCGAGCCGTCCGAAGGTTGTTTCACACGGGAAGGGCTTCTTAACGTATTGATTTATCTTTTTTGAGGTATGTATCTTGCCTAACTTGGGGG